ATAAGATAAAAAAAAACGAATTTTTTATACAGTAAGTATTTTTATATCAACTTTCTTTAAACAGATAATTTTTTGAAATCAACTTCAATGTTTTATCACCTGGACCGTTGGTAGTCTAATTAAAATATTGAAAATACCAATAAATAAGGAGGCTTACGTTTCTTTTGAAGCAAAGAAAAGATTACACTAGAAAAAGTGAGAGATAAATCACAATTATAACAACGATAATGCAGATTGATTTTTTTTTACAGTTTATCAACCCTTTGCCGGTTATTTAAAGTCGAAACATATTATGGTACTTGTGGGTTATCCGTCGCCACTTTTTAAATTAATTTTCACAAATACAGATGTGTAAAAATATACTATTCGTTTTTTAAATGATATTTATTTCTCCAAATAACAAACATTAATCGTATTATTCGGGTGGCATGAACGCGGTTATACTCTGCAGGGTATCGTCGAATAGGTTGATTCCACCGGGTATTTACCCTCTTCACATGAACTCGGCCAGGTAAGTCTCAAGATGATGACGTGCCATTCTTTGGTGACGCTTGTTCCTTCACTTTGCTGATCTCCACAAATGTTCGACAATCCGGAAATCAACGAAATTGTATCGATGATTAACATTGAAATGTCGGAAACCAGCCGCTTCGATCTCGAAAATTGGCGATTGATAACTCACAAGCACCCATATTATAGAGTGTAAGTGAATATTGCATTAACAATTTTTAGAGCTAATGATTTTACAACTCCTACTATTTAACCCATAACTGGGGCGGTAGAAGAAATGGATTTATACTTTTCCTAAGGTTAAAAAAATCGGCAGGAAATCGAACTCTGTTCTTCTGTTTCATATTCCCAGCGGCTGTCCATTGCGCCACCCGCATGGAATATTTGTCCTTCATTTTATCAGAGGACGAAACTCATATATTGTAGTGTTGATTTTCCCAATTACTTACTTGGCCATATTTTTTTTTTATTTTTACTAAAAGCTCACACAATACGGGTCTCAAGAACCACTCAAGGTAGAGGGTTACTAAATGACGTGTGTGATATGAATGCTCAAAAGGGAAATAATGAAGATTATGGACGGAATGTAACGATTGACCTTTAACTTGAAGAGTTTAAGATTCTAGTGATCAGGGAAGCCCGTCCAAAGTAGCAGGTCTTAGTGAAAAAAAAAAAAAAATCTTAGTGGAACTTTGTCCTTACACGGAGAATACCGAAGCAATGAGGTTGTTTTGACTCCGTGGATATGTCATGGTAGGTCTTAGCTGTAAATGTCTGAACTGGCGGAGCTAAAGAATGGAGCTCGCCTGAACATTTTCCATGGAAATAGCGATAGAATAGGAATAAACATGCGTCGTAGCTTCAGAGCGGATAATAAGCCCCCCCCCCATAATATCGTATAAACGCCTTCGAATCCTATCAAAAATGGAAAGTGAAGATTGGGCAGCCCCAGCCCATATATGGTAGCAATACTCCATTTTAGGTTAAATCTGATTGTTGTAAAAATAAAAGCTAATGCGATTTATCCCTTGTTTCCTGTTTAGGATTGGGTTTCCAGTTCCTTCTAAATTCTATTTCACCTCTAGAATTCTAATGTCTCCGCCTAAACGCTGACATATTTACTATTTATCTATTTATTTTTCCACAATATGAGCAGATAGGTTCAACCCATAGGTGGGGGAAAAGAGGTAGATTTATACATTCCTCAAGGGCATATCGGCTTAGGTGAATATTACGAAGCAAACAGCAATTGGTATTCGGTCCTCCGAATAAACAATTCCGGGCCATTAACAATTAAACTAGCCGAATAGATTATTGCTGTCATATCTGGGCTAGAGGTGCCTGATCCTCACTTTCCCTTCTCGATTGGGTTCGAAGTCGTTTGGGAAAAGTAATAATCTGCCTCCCCCAGCTAAGAGTTAATTAGTAAGACATGAATCACTAAACCATTATTATCTAAAAAAAATTACAATCTAGAAATATTTTCTAGTTTTAAATAACTTGCAAAGGGTTGGTAAGCCGTAAAAAACGAAACAATCAGTTAGTCAAAACAATTTCAGGCATTGATCAGAGAAAACGGTTGTATACAGATGATACTTTAAACCTGACCGCATTGGATGCCATGCGTGACACTCTTTCGCGTTCTTTTGCGTTCAAAATCGAGATTTATGTAAATGACGAAAATGCTACATCAGACGTTGCTCATTAATATGGTCTGGTGCGCCTAGAGATTATTTTCAAAATCCAAAAGAATCTGCAATATTATCGATCCTGACATGGCATCTCGGCTTCAGTCACTTTCCCACCACCGTAACATATCACCCCATTTCAGGAATTCAAGCGCCTTACTAGATTGGCAGCTAGGTCTCCTAATTTATAGTTGTAAACGTACGTCTGGTGCTTGTATTTAATGCCCTTCCCTACTGGTAGAGGTACAGATTTTCCAAGCGTAGCTTAGATGTGGCACAAGGCCGAAAGTATGGGTATCCAGTGAGAATCGAACTCACTTTTCAGTAGTAACTGATCTAGCAAGCCAAGCTTGCTAACCATTACACCACGCCGAGGTGCCCCCTACTGGTAGAGGTATGTGACACAGTGGGGATCTCGAGTGCATGCACCCGGGCCAGGACCAAAAATCGACTAGTCCTCTACTGCTGCCCCTTCTTCTTTGACGCAATGTGGTAGGGACCTGCCGTGAGCAACTGTGTCCCGGGACTGGGGATCTCTCGAATTTCAGTTGCGTTCTGTTCGCGGACAGAGATACAATTGAGTCATGATAAGAGTACGTCTTATCGTCTTATGCTTCTGCTATATATATAGAAATTCTTTTTTTTAAAAAAAAGGCTGCAATGTTATCGCGCTTGACCTGGCATCTCGGCTTCAGTCACTTTCCCACTGCCGTAACGTATCATCTCAGTGTCTTTTCTACAAATATTTTCACGGTACTTGTTCTGATGAGCTTTTCTCGTTGGTATCCCGACTTTACAAGTTTAAGCGCAGTACTAGAGTGGCAGCTAGGTCTCATCATCTTACAGTAGAAATTGTTACATTTAATCGTAAGTTTTCTGCCACCAGTTCATTCTTTCGCAAATCTCGCTTGTAGAACTCTTTTCCAGCTTCTTGCTTTCCAGTTAATTTTGATCTTTAAAAGGTTAAATGCAATGTCAATCGTTATATTCTGTTTTCAGAATACGTTTTCTTTCCTTAATGATATTTCTCTTTTACTCATATCTTTTCACACTCAGTAACCTCCTTGCGTTTTAGTGGCTTTATAAAAAAAAAATTCGTTATATGATTAAGTTAAAATTAGCAAATATATTAGTGCATCTAGCATAGATCTCTTCTTTCGTATATATATATATATATATATATATATAAAGCTTTTCATCCCAAGCAAGGCGGGAGTGCCACTAGCACGCAAGGGGTTACAGAGAGTGGGAACAAGACTAAAGAGGGGTGAAAGAGGAAAGGATAAAGAGAAGGACGGGGAACAGATCAAGGCATCTGGAGATGTCAATTGACATTGCATTTGAATATTTGGAGATTATAGCTATCGGGGAAGCTAGTAAGAGGAAGGGAGTTCCACAGACGGTAAGTGTGAGACATGATGATAGTGGAGTAGATGAGACGGCTACATGAAAGGGTGGGATGAGATGCCGATCTAGTGGCACGTTTAAATTCATGCAGTTTGGGAACTAGCGAAAACAGCTCGTCGGAGCAGTTAAAGTGTTTGTAGAAAAGACAGAAGGAGGCGACGGCTCGTCTGTGAGAGAGCAACTGTAAACGAGATGTCAGATCAGAGCCAAACACTTTCGTTGTCTTTATATGTGAAAATGCAAAAGGACGTATTTTTAAAGATTATGCAAACGCAATTTGATAAAGTACGACATGAAGAACTATTCTAGGTGCCAGGTAAGTTTGATTTATTTGGGAAGGGTATCAGAATAATCCAGATCTTATATTGGGAGAAAAACGTCTGCATACGGATAGAAAATAAATTAAATAAATATGCAAAAATAGAACGGGGCGTAAGACAAGGATAGGTCTTCTCACCGGACTTATTCAACATTTACTGTGAAGTGATTTTGAGACAATTATAATTCCTTCCAGGATTCATTATTGGCAGCCACAGCTACGTTAAATCTGTAGATGACATAGGATTGATAGCAGTCACGAAAAGGAAACTCCAGCAACTTCTGCAGAAGACAGCAGCTACAAGAATGAACTAAACAAAATTGTAGGAAGACAGAACGTACAAAAAGAAACAGCCCAATATGCAAATTAAAAATTGGAGATACTAAAATCAAGCTAGTAAAAAAAATAAATATTTATAAAGTCTTTTAACGGAGGACGATAAATGTCCCACTGAAGGCTGCCTTCCAAAAGCTAAGCAAAATATTAAACAACAGGAAGTTTTCATTAGAAGGAAAAGAGTACTGTTATATCACCACTACTAGATGACACCGAATGCTGGACAATCTTTGCACCAATGAAGAAGAGATGTGAGGCAACCGAAATGTGGGTCTACAGAAGGATGCGGAGAATACCATAGGCTGAACATGTAAATAACGAGCAAAGTTTTAGAGAAAATGGAAGTAAAAAAGACACTTATACTTAACATCAGGAAAAAACAGTAGCAATTTTTCAGGCACATAATGAGGAAAGAGGGCATGAAAAATTTAACACTCACAAGACAGATTGAAGGCAAGAGGAACAGAGGAAAGCAGTACGTAACCTATCTAGTGAATGGTTCGAAGAATAAAGATTAGGAGAGATAGCAGCAAATATTTTTTATAGACTACAAAGGACAGGAAATGGTGGAGAGCCGTGATCATTCACGTCCTAAAGGGATACAGTACATAGAAGACGGACGAGCTTGTGTAAATGGTCGGCAGAACAGGGATTAAGGAAGATAGTGAAAAGACAAAATTTATTAAAATTTACAAAGGGAAAGAAATTGTGGAGAACCTTAATCGCTCGCGAAAGGACACAGCACGAAGAAGAAGAAGAAGAAGAAGGAGGAGGAGGAGGAAGAAGAAATGGAGTTAGAAGAAGAAGAAATGAAGTAAGAAGAAGAAGAAGAAGAAAAAGGAGAAAAAGAAGAAGAAGGAGGAGGAGGAGGAGAAGAAGAAGAAAAAGAAGGAGGAGGATGAGGAGGAAGATGAAGAAGAAGAAGAAGAAATGGAGTAAAAAGAAGAAGAAAAGAAGAAGAAGAAGAAGGAGGAGGAGGAGGAGAAGAAAAAGAAGAAGAAGGAGGAGGAGGAGCAGAAAGAAGAAGAAGAAAAAAGGAAGAAAAAAGAAAAAGAAGAAATGGAAGGAGGAGAAGAAGAAGAAAAGAAGGAGGAGGAGGAGGAGGAGGAGGAGGAGAAAAGAAGAAGAAGGAGGAGGAGGAGGAGCAGAAAGAAGAAGAAGAAAAAAAAGGAAGAAAAAAGAAGAAATGGAGAAAGAAGAAGAAGAAGAAGGAGGAGGAGGAGGAGGAGGAGGAGGAGGAGGAGAAAAAGAAGAAGAAGGAGGAGGAGGAGGAGCAGAAAGAAGAAGAAGAAAAAAGGAAGAAAAAAGAAGAAATGGAGTAAGAAGAAGAAGAAGAAGGAGGAGGAGGAGGAGGAGGAGAAGAAGAAGAAAAGAAGAAGGAGGAGGAGGAAGAAGAAGAAGGAGGAGGAGGAGAAGAAGAAAAAGGAGGAGGAGGAGGAGCAGAAAGAATAAAAAGAAGAAAAAAGAAGAAAAAAGAAGAAAAAAGAAGAAATGGAGTAAGAAGAAGAAAGAGGAGAAGAAGAAGAAGAAGAAGAACTAGTTAATTTTTAGCAGAAGTTATTGAATAGAATTCGGCTCTGTTTAACATTATTTGGGTATTTTAGCCTTCTTAGATTTCAGCCTCTTTTCGACCGGAGACCTCGATTTCTGTCAGTTAAATAGGCGGGTGTTTGATGTAAGGTATGTAAAAAAGAACGGAAGATTCCACGTGCCCCTAGATTTTCCTTTTGCTTTCTTTTTTTTTTTTTGTTAAATTTCTTTTCCCTATGCTATGGTCCATTTTTTTTTTTTTTTTTTCTCGATTCCCCCCCCCCAAACGCCTGTTTTGGATCATCTGTCTTTTATTTTTTCTGAAATCTTACAAACATTCCCTCTTTCTCTCAAACCTTTTCCGAAATCAGTCTCCTTCCATAATTACTCTGACTGTTCCTTCAAATTCCAGCCAGTCGCTCATCGTTCCACATTGCAAACTCACCTTATCTCGGGACCAGAGAAAGACATTCCCTTAAATCTTTGCCTGTTATTCTTAACGCATGCGCACACGGCAAAACAACTTCGTCCTTAAGTCACGCGTATAAATAGTCCAATCAACATAGAGAGAGACACGAACACAAACACAGGAAGGCGTCCACGTGCCTGGACACACGCATACAGATATACATACAGAGACACGCGCACGCACATACAGAGACGAACATTCACAGATGTTAGGTACGTACGTGCACTCATCTGCACATATATACGCACACACATACTCACAAGTGTCAATACACACATAGCCACACCATGAACGTTCGCCTATCATGATGGATGGGTCTTCTCTCAAGGAGCCTACTTGCCATGAACGTCTACGATGTCTCAAGCTCTTCTCAGACATCAAGTGGAACTCATATATACGATCTATAGCTGAAGATGCTGGTTGCTTCATTGTACCGCTTCAGTAAGTATCTGACTCCTGTCGTTATAAGAAGACAAAAAAATGGAGTACTGTTTTCATATCTGAGTTAGAGTTGCCCAGTCCTAACTTGCCTGAATTCAAAAGCATCTACGTGGATCTGTGGGTGATAAATTATTTTCCACCCTACAATCCCTTTCTCACAGACGAAACGTTGCGTATCTATCGCTGCCCTATCGCTATTTCTATGGCATGTGTTCTGACGAGATACATTCCTTAGACCAGCCAACCTTGACTTTTATAAATGGTACCCGTCATGCCATGCACATAAGTGCGAATCATCCCATATTCCAATAGTAAGAAGTAAGTTTCATTCGGACAGCTTCTTACCAAGTGATTTGTGAAACAGGCTCCCAGGAAGATGCTTTCCCAATCAATACAATCTTGGCCTCTTCAAGTCTCGGGTTAATCGTTATCTTTCCTGCATAACCCCATGAACTTCTTACCCTTTCTTACACTCATATAAAACGACACAATAACCGTCTATCTTGAGTGGCTCTTCGGCCTTGTATTGGGTGAAAATTAGTACAGAAAAAAATGTCAGAATTTCAATTTGGAATTTGTTTATCGTAATCTCGTCCGATTATCGTAATCTCGTCCGATTAGCGTAATTCTCGTCAGATCTTTTTTTTATTTCGAGATCAAACTATTTGGCAGTCAAAGCTGAATAGATCAACTAACAATAGTTTCATGTGAAGCAAAAAAGAAAATGCGTGTGTGTATGTTTATGCATGTGTGTGTGCCATTGTGTCTGTGTTTGCACACGCCTGTATGTGTGTGTATGTACACACATGTAGAATGTCGTTGTTATTTCTTCTTTTCATACTTTTCTTGTTTCCTTATACCTTCTCACCATATATTAGGCACCTCCACTAAATTTATCGCCAAAATCTTTAAGGTATTATTAAGAGGAAAGACCAAATTATCTTTTGATTATTTTATTATACTTTTGAATCCCATTCAGAACTTTCGAAATTTTGGTAAGTAATCTTTTTTTTTTGTGTCAGCGGGTGGGCATAGCAAATTTAGCGTCTTTTTTGTTGTCAAAACACAGGGATTTTGAAATTCTTGCAAAAATCAAATAATTGTCGAATTTTAATGAAACTTTCAAGACTTATTCACAAATAAATCAAATTATTTTAGAAACGTTTTTTTTTAGAAAATCTTGGTAAAATTATATATATTTTTTACGTATGTTATCCCCCACTCATTAATTTTATGAAATTTTGAGAAATTCATTCTTGGAGGGCTTAATGTTTATATTAGTTATAAGCACATGTCCTTGGACAATTTAAATCATCAATTTCTTTTTTGTGTACCAGAAACATCAGTTACCGAAAATCTGTTTTGAATCGTAAAAAAAAAAAAAAAAAATGCAATAAAACTAAGATATTCAGTATCTGTCTATATTTCTGAGATGAGGTATTATGTACACTATTTACATTATTCGGACTATTGTCCTCATCTTTGTCACCATATTTATTACAACGTTTCGGGCGTTGTACGCTCCGGCCTTCTTCAATATCTGTCTATATTTCTGAGATGAGGTATTATGTACACTATTTACATTATTCGGACTATTGTCCTCATCTTCGTCAACATATTTATTACAACGTTTCGGCCGTTGTACGCTCTGACCTTCTTCAGATGGTTTATAATACCCAGAAATTTATACACAGACGTCTTCAGCACATGGCACAATGGATAAAGGCGTTAGTTAGATCCAGTGACAGGATTCAAAGGCGGTGGAGAACTTGGAGAGGGAAATTAACAGGAGATAACTGATGACATCCATTAGACATGGCACGTGGAACTAGAAGAGTCTACCCCATCGAGCAAAATAAGGGGTTCAGTTCGACATCCCAACCACCTGAAGAAGGTCGGAGTGTACAACGGCCGAAACGTTGTAATAAATATAGCGACAAAGATGAGGACAATAGTCCGAATAATATAAATAGTGAAAACTAAGATATTATTTAATCAGAAAAACTTTCTTTTATGAATACACGAATTGCTTTCATTTCAGCGAGGGAATCCAGAGGGTCTTGGCAAAGATCGATCTTCTTTCAATATTGTAGACCGGCGCGACAGAATTATAAACAAAGAATTGTACCAGATAGCAGATTCTATATCACATGAAGACTTTCAACAGCAGCAACAACTAAAATGAATAGCACATGTAATTGAAGATAACATAATAGCATAATCAAAATATTAACATTCCACACCACTTCAAATAAAAGGTTAGGAAGGAAACCGTCATCAACACTGGAAAGATCGATAACATCTACTGGACACGAGAAAACTATTTTCCTGAACGATTGTTTTATGAGAGATATTTTATAAATTTCAACAGAAAGCAATACTGGCTGCTCGGTCAGTTAATTCCTTGAAAATGAAGAAAATGTCTTCCTCGGCAAGGATCGAATATGCACCACCACACTGGCATTTTCTTTACTCTCAAATGAACAGACAGATAAACGTAAAACACATAGTTTAATAAATAAAAATGTAGCAACTATTTTAAAAACGAAGTAACCATTTGAAGCAATAAAACAACGAATTAAAAATAAATCCATTAATTCTTGGCACACACACACTTATATATATATATATATATATACATATATATATATATATATATATATATAGTAATTTACGGATAGCCCCTGGAAAGTGAACGGACAGATCCGCCTACGCAACTTTGTAGTCGGAATGTTGATGGCAACATCAATCAGTTAAGTGGCAAACCTTTACTTATATTAATTCTCTTTCTCTCTTTTTTTTCTCTCTCTCTCTTTTTTTCTCTCTCTTTCTCTGTGTGTATATATATATATATATATATATATATATATATATATATATATGTGTGTGTGTGTGTGTGTGTGTGTGTGTTTGTACGTTCACGTATGATTATAATGTTTTTTCCATAAAGTTAGTTTATTGTATTTGATTTAATGAAAGCATTTGCATTCCTTATAAACTGAACAAAACGGAATCTATATACGTAATCACATACGCAACCGCATGCCCCTATATATATATATATATATATATATATATATATATTTCCTCTTAATATATATATATATAAACAGGAGGCGATGGATAAAATGTTGACTACATTACACAAAAATGAAAATAAAACTGTCATCTCATTCTAACAGATACATTTACCAAAATTAGACAAAAATAACTTGAAATAATATAGAGTAAATGTATTCAATAAAATCGCCATTGGCTTCAACCACGGTCCCCAAACGACTTCGGAATCTTCTGCAACTCTCATGAGCGTTCCCCTTGATCAACTTGGTGAATGTTCCCATAATCCTTGCCTTCAGTTTATCTTTGGTGTTACAAGTAGTTTTGTTGGTCTCGCTCAACTGCTCCCAACACATAATAATCAAGGAGGTTGCAGTCTGAGGATTTAGGTGGCCGATTGTTGTGGTCGAAGAAATTGTCTGAAAGCCATGACTGATATCCTGCTTATGTGGTATGGTGCAGAGTCATGTTGGCAGACGCAGAGTCTTCTAGCCGCCAAACTCTTGACCCAGGGCAGCACTACCTCTTCAAAGCATTTGGTGTAGGCCTCCGTGTTGACTCAGAGTCCCTGTGTAAAGATGAATGGAGGCGTAACGTCGCCATCACTAGTGATCACTTCGTAATCATCATTAGACTCATCCAACTCTTTCCGAACCCTCTGTACTGTGATCATGTGAAATATTCCTATTGGTGCTTCCGGTGCAAATGCCAAGAAGTACAGCATGCTGTTTCTAAATTTCTGATGGAGTAAATTGCGTCATGATGCTCTTTTTCTCACCAACTGACCCTAGTTTGGTTGACAAATTTAAAAACAAACAATGCGCATGCGCGAAATTAAAAATATAAAATGGTGACAATTTACAGCTCGCATCCTGTATATACAATTTCACACACTACATATATATATATATATATATATATATATATATATATATATATATGTATGTATGTATTTGTGTGTGTGTGTATTTAGGGAGCAATCCTTCTTTCATCAACTTTTCATCGAATACGACAGACAAGGTGCTTTGATTTAGTTTTTTTTATACAATTTCTCATGTGATCTTATAATTTTTTTCTTTTCGGGGAATAAATTGTATAAAATCTGTCCAATTTTTCTTTCTTTCCCAGAGCTTTCGGCTATACTTTTTTTTTTTAAATTCTGAAGAAGAAATATATTGTTGTATGCATGTATTTATATCAAACGGTCAAAAATGTTCACAGTTGATATTACTGAATGTTGTTTTTTTTTTGTTGTTGTTGTTAATAAGGCTTCCATACACACACAGACGGAGAAATACACACACTCACACATCTGTTTCAAGTACTGAATAATTCAGTCAATAAATTACGTCAATCCGTACACCAATAAATGCGCATGTCAACATAGACTTGTCATAGTGACATTCAAACAAAATACACACACGCATACACAAATAAAAAAAAAGTACACACACATGCACACATTCACGCAAGCACATAGACACTTCTTGTAGAGGTCGTCTTA